TTTGTAAGCTCAGTAGCTGTCGAAAAAAGTACCAAATGGTAGGCGAAGATACACAGCAAAGACATAAAACCGAGGCAAATGGTTTGTTAATCGTGCGAATGTTAAACTTACAGTGAGTCGAGAGCGTTGACGCCGGAAAATGCCTTTTGTTCGACGGACTTTATCTTGTTATTATGGAGAAATCTGAAACAGTAAACAATAATAAACGGTAAAGAAACCTGTCTAATTTCATTGCTAAGCACGAAAGAAGTGCAAGAGTCGCACTCGGCTATCGCCTCGTGCGACTCTAGCTTCTTGAGTGCTTAGCAAACCTTCCAAGTGCATTCATAACTCGATAGTTGCACGCTGCACATTTACCAATTCTTTTATAACATTGAGACTTTTGAGATATATTGAATCTATTCCGGCTTACATGAAGTCAAAAGCGCCCTAAACCGCGCGAAAATGGTCGTTCAAAAATCTGACAAAGCGACACATCAAAATTTGTCTTGGATCGCGGCGAGTTCATAGTTTACATTTTCTCGATCTCGGGCAAACAAACAACTTCAAACTGCTCGGTTAACTTAAATATCAAGCTGACAACAAACGAAATTTGCAGTCGGTAAAAGCGTTTCTCAAAAGTTAGTTAAGCTTAAATTTGGATCAGTTTTTCGAAGAATTGAAAACAAACTGCACATGGTTGAAGCCTTTGGTGGCTGAGCTCTCTGTCCTTCGCGACGTTTTCGACAAAATAAAAGAACAATGTGGAACCAGACATTTCTTAAAAGCGGGAGAGGGGAAGAATGCGAACAAACATCCCTGGCTTTGAGCTGTTTGAGATGCTCTTATTTATTAGCAGGTTTGTGGGTTTCGTTTTCCTTTCCACTTCGTAAATTGAAGGGTTGCGCGTTTAAGGTTGAACTTGAACACACGAATGTAAAAAAGGATTTTTGTCACTTTCATTATTTGGTAAAATAAACATAAATGAACGGAGGACTGAGGCTTTAAGTAAAATGTCAGAAACGTAAGTTTATATTTGTGCACGATGCAGTCGTTCCTTGGAACGGCTGTTTCTTCAATTTCAAGAGTTCACTTTACGCTCAGGCGAATCGAGTGATCGAGCAAAACTGAAACCCGGGAACTTAAGTTAAATAATTCATTAGAGGCTACCAATATTTGATAAAACTTCCTTTATTATAGCTCAGAAATACTATTATCTTTAAAGTTTTTGGAACAAAAGGATTTCGTATGCAAGACTTCACTTAAAAAAGAAATTTGTTAAAACTCTCATGTACCAAGTTTTGCTCTCCGAAAGCGTTTAAATGGCTTTCGACGCCAGAAAAGTTTTACAATGAAAGCTTGTGCTGAATCATAGTGTCCCCAAATCGGCGAAAAATTCTCTCTAAAATTCCCGCTATGCATTACTAACCTTGAAAGGTTGATATGGACCAGTTTGTTGTTTTTTTTGGTCCTCCTCCGAGTGCCGAGTGCTTTTGTTCAACCAGCTGATTCAACTCCTGCTCGCTTAAATCTCGAAATTTCTTAGCTCACATAAATAATCTTCCTCATCGCCGGAAGAATTATTAAATTTTTCCATATTTTAGGGGAAGAAATATAGGAATTATGTTTTAAAGTGTGTCAACATCGATGAAAACAATTGCCGAGGAAAAGTACAAATATACAAACTGACGTGAGCTTGCAACCCACGGGCAAATAGACCGAGCGTATTAGCCAATCAGAACGCGCGCCTCGCTAAAGCTATATTATAAAAGTTTTTAAACTGCTTTTAAAATGTGTGGATGGTGCTTTGAGGAAAACAGTTTGCCTTTTGAATAGAATCAGATGTAGTTACTTCATTGATGAATACTTACAATTGTTTGACGGTTGTTTCACTAAAGGTGCCATTAGGTATTGTTGCTAAATTGTTGTTTGCGAGCATCCTAAGAAAAACAAGGATGATAATTTAAACATAATTGAACTTGCATTGTAATACAATTAGGGTTGATGTTCTAGACAAAAGAAGAAACATTTACTAGAATTATGAAATGACGAGAAAACATGCGGACTCAAACATCAGATCAAAAGGCGCTTTGTACTTAACAGAAAGCTCTTCAGTCACTTTAATTATTTTTCAGCGAGTTAGCAGAGATGCACAGAGAGTAGAAATGCTCTTGCATGTAAAATATTTACAAAACATATTCCTGTGAGATAAAGATTATTGTCGTACACACATTTGATTTTTAATGCTTATTAGTAAAAGTAAAAAGGATATGACCAAGTAAACAAGAAAGCAATCGTACCATTTTAACTTGTCAAAGCAGTCAGTTTCAATTGCCTCAAACGTGTTTCTTTTGTGGCATTTTAATCTCGTCAAAATGCTAAATTTAATGATTTCATTGTATAAATGTAAATTACTTACAATGTCCTTAGATTCCCCAGTCCGGAAAAAGTCTCTTTGGTAATATGTGAAATGTTGTTAAAGTTTAATAACCTGAGAATGAAATAAGAATACAAACACTATGTAATTAAAGACGTCCATTTTCCGGTGGAGGCGCCTCCTTTAGAGTACACGTAATTTGCTGCTAAGTAAATAAGTACAGCTAACAAATTTCGAATGCAAAAAAATAGACCTGGATGATCACAGTGTAAAACACAAAATAATCTACAGATACATGTCCAGTCACGTGTCCAGTCACAGATAAAGAGCAAATGCACAGAAATGTCGAGCGAAGCGTAGCCACGGTCAAAGTTTAACTTACCTTTGATTCGAGTTTATAGGAAGGTATTTACGAGTTTTCAAAGGTTTTGGTGTTCATTTTTCTAAAAAAGGTCTACTTTTAGGAATATTTGGTAAAAAGGATTTTGCGCTCTTTCTGGCCAAAAAATGGCCGAATAAATTGGCAAAAAATAGCATTGCGAAATCGTCCTCGCGTTAATAGTTAAAATTATATCTTGAGGAGTAAGATACTAATATTAAAAGAAGAAATTTTTAGCTTTCTATATTTGTCTGTTTTTCGGTTGCAGATGATAGCTGTCACTGCGAAAAACACATCCTTTGATAAAGAGATTTGACAATAGCCGTTGTGAAGCAAGGTTTAGTCTATGATTGCAAAAAGACTTTTAGTTATGTGGCCGAACTCGAATCGAGCACATTTTACGTTTGTTAAGTGTCGAAATAATCTTCTTGCATGATCTATAAAATTTTGCTTGGGTTTTTCAGTTCTACCTGAGTCGAATTGAAGATTTTTTGAAAAAGTGTAGCTGCTGTCCACCAAAAAATTCTTTCTCGCTTTGTGATGTGATAATCCTATCATGCGTAGAATTTTTTTGATTTATATATTAAAGCATAAAGATCGCGCGGTCACTCTGAGACTGCAAAATGCAAATAACATAGACAGGGTACGGTAAACTGCCATTGATCATCCCTTAGAAAAGCTCCCGGGTAAAGGACCATTTTAATACGAATGAAATGATGTTCCGGTTATATTAAAACCCCTCTCTTCCAACTTAATGACATTAACCAAGTGATTATGAACCTGCCAAGAGATTATGATCCTGTATTAACTTACCACACATTTTAATAACCGCCATTCAAATAGCCACCATGCATTGAATGAGTAGAGTACAGAAACACCTCAAAATCCGATTGTTTTAATCCGAGTTTCCCGATTGGCCACAAATTGCAAGGATAGATGAAACAAATTTGTTGGTGTACTAGAATGCATTTCCTGATGTTGAAAATTTCATTTCCATCGGTGTGCGTTACAGCCGTTTATCAAGGAGCTTCACGGACTGACGTTACGGTGACTTTATGTCGTGACCCATGACCGAATGAACTGAGTTAGCTTAACAAGAGCTGGCCCGCAGCATAAAATGGAGAAAAGCTGGACGGCATGTAAAAGTAAGTCATCCTTTTTAAGCTGTGAAGGAGAGTTTAGTGCAATAATTTCATTCAAAACCCG